AGGGGGTGGCGGGGGCGGGGCGGAGGCCAGGGCCAGCGAAACCCGCCTCGGGCCGCGGGTGGCTGGGCGCTGGGTAGGGGGTCATCGGCCAGCCACTGTCGCTTCTGGTGTAGGGGTAGGGGAGCCCCTAAACCTCACTGCGAGACCCCGTTTTTTGAACGACCTGCTGGACCCCCCCACCCCCACCCCGCTGGTTCTGTGGTTCGGGAACCCGCAGACCTCCTCCATAACTTCCCAACCCCCAGTTCAAATTACTAGCCAACTCCGGGTGCTGGGCAGCCCAGCCGGAGCCCGGAGGGGCCGGGTGGATGGGGGGCGCTTTGCAGAGACCTGAAATTGTGCTCCGTCTAGAGTCTGGCTTGGAGAACAAAGAGCTAACTTTTCAAAGCAGGTTTCTGCAATGGAGGGTGGGGTTGGCTGAGTTCTGGGGGAGCCGAGGAAAGGGGGAAATATTTGGAGAGGGGAGAGGGTAGCTTTCTGGAAATTCGCTGTCCCCTTGGGGCACTTATGCGTCCCCAACCCAGGCCGGACTCGTTCATCTGGTAGCTATTAGATTTCTGCAAGGGGGATGTGGGGGTGAAGAGGAGAACTGGGTGTTTCCAGTGTACTTTGAGGTAGGACCCGCCTTTCTGGAAGCTCCCTGAAGCCTAAGGCAACCTGCCCCTTCTCAGTGTTCACCGCCGCAGGGGAACGCCAGTGTTTCGGCTCTTCCTAAGTGCATTGTACCCAACACCCCAGGCTGGCTCCTAGTCCACGTCTTTTTCCTTACAGTCTGAACTGCCAGGAGGCAGGCGCATAAAAGTGGGGAGCTGGTTTTGTTTGGGCTGGGATAGTTCATTGGCTACTTTGTCTCCCCCTTCCCCCCCCCTTAGGCTTAGCTCATTCTCTGGAACCTTTAACCCCTGAGCCCAGGTCAGGAGGTGGGGTTTGAGATTCTGAAACACATTTGAACTTGCTCCTTGGGAAAACGAACCTAGGGACCCAGACTATTTCACTGACCTTCCTGGGCTTGACTAACCAGGAGGCTAGAAGATTAAGGGAAAGGGCTGACCTGCTAGCTCACTGTACCAGCCTCTGGAGGGCTAGACTTGAGCTTGGCACTCTTAATGGAGAAACAACCTCTTGAGGCGTTAACTGTTCTTGCATGAGAGTCTCTGCCTTCTCCCGCGTAGGGCTTTTAGCCTGCATTTGCAGTTTCTTGGGCCAACAGGCAGAATCCCCTTATTCACAGTCATGAATGGGAGAGGCAGTACATGATTGCTGTGGCTTGGGAGGTGGGAGACTTTGTCCTTGTTTCAGGCCCACACCCGTCAGCTTTATGAATGGTTCAGGACCTCAGTATTCCCCATCTATAAGATGGGTATTGATGATGTCATTGCCTTGGAAGTGGCAGGGCAGGAAGTGTGGTCAAGGTTGTGTCCTCCCTCCTTTTCTGTTCATCCCCTCAGGGACTCTCCTTGTAAAGACCTTCACTGCCTGTGTGTCACAGGAAAGGGGGCAGGGATCCTATGCGATACCCTCCTCAGTTCTGTGCCCTCTGTGTAAGAGGATATTCAGGTTGGCACTGCCCCGGGAAGTGGGAGTTGATGATTCCTTCCTGGTTTTAGAACTCTCCCTAGGGGAAGTGGCCCTGGAGAGACCTCCCCCCCCACCCCCTCACTGAGCTGGAGAACTGGAAAATCCTGGTAACAGTTCTCTTCCTCCCATGACCCCCAGGCAGTAAGAAACGGCACCTGGATTTAGAGCCCTGGAGGATGCTGGGCGGAGACCTGGGAGTGGGGAAGGTTCATTCCCATAGGCATGGTTGCTACCTAATTTCCCAGGGCTTCTGGTGTGCAATCAGAGTCAACTTACTCTGGTGTTATTCACTGCAGTTCCTCATGACATGTAGCCTGCTGCATGGCCAGAGCACAAGCTGTGTCCTTATTGTTAGGTCTTTTCTCCTCTCTGAGTCTTATCGCCCAAAGGCATAGGTGGGTAAATCTTGTCACCATTGAAGGCCACCCTGCCCCCAGCCAGCAGTACCAGTGTGCACTTCATGCTGGATAAATATATATTGCTGATGACAGTGTTTGAAGAAGGAAGTTAAGGTTTGTTTCCCTCAAGGGTTTCTGGGATTAGAGAAGGGAGTTGAGAAACAGGTGACCCCTTTCATTTAACAAATATTTATTGGGGACCTGTGTTGTGAAGAATCTTGCCATATCTTTCTTTTTCTCTCCTGGCTGCCTTGAGTCCCCCAGCTGAAAACAGGTGGAGATGGTAAGGAAGGCTAGGGGATTGGTCTGCTGTCAGCTCTCCTGGAATGGCCCATTAGTGAGGGCTTCCTGCCTTAAATGGCCAAATTCCCCCTCTTCCTCTCAAAAGGGCAGAGTCATTGCAGCTGTGGTACCTGTTCTTTTAGGAAAGTTTAGACTACCCTGCCATCACTTCAAGACCTCCCATTGCCTGCCAGCTGTTACTTACTGCAGTGTGCAGACTGCCTTACACACCAGTGGGGGACTGCTCCTGTGAACTGTGAGACCTCCAAGTGAGTCTCTCTAGCCTTTTAACATTGCAACATGCCATGGTTATCTACAAAGTTCTCCCAATGGAGTTGCAAAAAATATTGCAAAAAACATTCTCAGTGTTTTTGGTGAGTTTATGATTTTGTATTTGGCCACAGTTCCTCAGGGTCATGCCCACCAACGGTGGGTTGGACATGCCTGCTTGGAACAGGAGACTGATGGGTGTTATGTCTCATCACTCCTTAAGCCAAAGTTTTCTCTTTCTTTTTTTGTTTTTTGAGACAGTGTCTCATTCTAGCCTAAGTTGGTCTGGAACTTACTATGTAGCTCAGGTTGACCTAGAACATGTAGCAATCTTCTTGCCTCAGCTTCCTAAGTGCTGGGATTAGAGACATGTGCTACCATGCCCAGCTTCCAAAGTTAATTCCTTCTCTCCGTCTTTCCCTCCCTCCCTCTCTCTTCCTTTCGTCCTCCCTCCTTCCTCACAGGGTCTCATTTAGCCTAGGCTGTCCTTGAACTCCCCCTCCTGCCTCTACCTCCCAAATGTTGGGATGATAGCTGTGTGCCCACCAAACCCATTTTGTACAGTGCTGAGGATTAAACACAGGGCTTCATGCATGCTAGGCAGGTATTTTACCAACTGGGCTACAACCCCAGTCCTCAGAGTTCTTACTGTTTAGGTCTTCTGCTAGGGTATTAGCAAAAAGTATTTTTACTTATACTGTCTCCATTCCAAAAGTGAGTCCCCATCCCTTTCTCAGCCTGTCTGGAAGAATGAGGGTTCTGAGGACTGGGGCTGGGGTAGTTTGATGTTACTGAAAGGGATTTGTGGAGGTGCAACAAATAATTGTGCCTATAAGCCAGTGGCCCTGAGTTGAATTGGAGACAGGCTAGGGTGTTGACCCTAAAGGAGGGACAAACTATAACCCTGTGCAACAGGAAAGAAGTCTCATATTCCAGCTCTGAGTCACAGCCACCCTCGGGAGGTCAAGTGCAGAGAACAAGGTGTCAGGCTGCAGGTACAGGGACCTGAATGAATCTCCCCTCGCCCTCCTCCAGAGCCATGGAGGCCTGTGTGGCATGGGACCCTTGCCAAGGCTTCTATCTCCATTAGCCTGTTTCGTCTATAATGTAGAGTCAGTTTTCCACAGAGTGTAGCAGGCAGGCAAGGGAAGGGTGGCCGTCCTCTGGTGTGGGGTCTGGTTGAGCAGAGGCTCCTGTCATCAGAGGCCTGTCTTGTGAATAGGGAGGGATCCCATGGAATTTGTGGACCGGATTTTGAACTACATGCCTCCAGATGAGCTTTGCTGCCTCAGTCCTGACCCTTGTAAACAGGGACATTGCTGCTGTGAACCAAGGTTCCTGGGCTAGGGGAAGAAGGCAGGTGGTTCTTGGACTCTCGTGATAGAACCATTACCCTCATCTTCCCTTAGCCCCATATCCTTTCCCCAGACCAGAATGGGCAGGACAGAGTTGCCATCATCCTGGGTTTGGTTCACAGAAACTATCAAGGCCATTCCTCGCCTCCATAAAGGGGTGTACAGTGGCAGGAGTGGCTGGATTTTCCTGAACTTCAGAACCTTCTAACAGAAGAGGGTGGTGATGTGTCTTCTGGTTCCCCTACAGTGCCTGGGGAGATGACAGTTGTAGCCCCACTTTATAGATGCAGACACTACCCTTGGTAATCACCTGGCCAGCCCTCAACCCATTCTGGTCTTTTACTATTCTGCTCTTAAGTCCTCCCCCACCCAAAAGAGGACATGTGACCACCCTCCCCTGTCCCATACTGTGGTGTATCAAGTTGAGAACATGGACTCCTGTGGGTGTGAACTCTTTCCTAATATAGGGGTTTCCCTTCCTCCCAGGGGCAGCCTGGAAGGACCTTGTGGGTACCCTGGTCTAGATGCTAGTGTGTGTATTTCTGTTCCTCCTTTTTCACAGGTTTGACTCTAGGTGGGGGCCTGGCCAGCTGCTAGAGAAGGGTGCCTGTCTCTTTACTAAGTCAATCAGGAGGCAACCTTGGAGGTCCCTAGTCCTAGGACAGCATATTCCTGAGTATGTGTGTGTGAAAGTGGGTCATGGTCTGGATTCTGGAGAATGTTTTTCCTAGCAGGCCCCTGCGGGGGTGGGGAGGCAGGGGCATGCAGGCAGAGGCCACAGACTGGGTGGTGATAGTGCTGGGGTAGCCTGCCAGTGCCTCCCAGTCATAGGGACCTGTGGGGAAGGGACCATCCTGTTTCGGTTTTTCTAAGGGTTTGTGTGTTGGAATTGTACACCACTCCAAACAGTAAGGAATCTGAAAGTTACTGTGGTGCGGGTAGTGGCTCTGGGATGGGCCCAGGTTGGGGTAGGGCCAAATTAGACCAGCCATCGCTTTACTTCCAGACTTCCAGCTGGCTGTCTTCCCAAGGAGTGGTTTCCCTATCGCCATAACATTCACCATTACATTTTTCCTTGATAGGGAAAGTGTTCCATTAGACAGGGATTGACCCCTGAAATTACCCTGGTGTTGAAGTAAGCCAAGGTGGGTGGATTCCCCAGCTGGACTTCAGTGCTCCCTTTCCTCCATCTGCTCTAAGTGTCTGTGGAGCCCCTCTTAGTTTGGGAAACACCTTTTGAAAAGCACTGCCTTGGGGGGAAATTCCTTGACCAATGGCCAAGAACCAGTCCTACTGCTCTGGCACTTTTTAAGGTCTCCTTGTCTCCCTCCCTGGCTTCTGGTCTCCTCCTTTGGGGGCCAGGGAAATGGGTCAGGTGTAATGAAAGAGTCAGATTACCCAGTCAGCATGGATTCTGGGGTCTTGGCAGCCGGGGCATGGTAGATGCCAATCCCTATCCTCATCCTGTGACACCAGGGTGAATTTACATGTTATTTGCATGGCTTTGCCTGGTGTGGGGGAACCACATTTCTCAGGGATGGAATCATTTTGATTGCATGTTTTCTCTTTCCCTGCTTGCCTTCCCTGTCCCCTTCATCTGCCACCCTGGATGGATGACTAGTTTTAGACCCCTGAATTTGCTAGAGGCTTACCTTCCCCTCAGTCTCATACATACTTGTTGGAGCTTGGGTTGGATGTATGCCTCCAGTGGAGGCCTGAGGTGCCAGGTACCTTGCTGAGGTGATATCTCATTAATCTCACTCTGTGCAGGGGTGTGTGTGTGTGTGTGTGTGTGTGTGTTGGGGGGTGGGGTGGGGTAGGTATTATATGCAGTCCACAGACAGGATGTGGAGTCAGACTCCCAGGCACAGGACAGGATGAAACCAAGGTCATCTGGCTCCCTAGATGGAGCTGTGATGTCCACCTGGACATTTTCACTGTCTCTGCAGGGTGCTTTCCAACCTTTATCCAGCTGGGAGCGAGAGATGTGGGGCTGAGCAGGATGTGGGTGTGGCACTTAGAACTGGGTGACTCACTGATAAGGGGTCCCTTGTGAAGGGGGAGGCGTCTGAACTGGAACATCATGAAGGGGAACTCAAGGGTGGCACCGACCTTCAGAGAGGTAGTTAGGAGTGCCCTGGTTCTGGGTCTGTCTGCCAGGGGGCTGGGCCCTCTTCTGCAGGCCTGAAGGCTAGAGGCACTGCTCCTTCCTGATCTGCTGCTTAGCAACGGACTGCCGCTTTGCATAAGCAATGAGGTCTGTCCTGGACCGGAGCTGGGAGGTGGAACTGACCTTTCTGGAGGCTGCTGCCTCCATCCATAAGTGGGTTCTAACTCCCTTTACCCTTAGATCTGCCCTTCTCCCTGTCCTGACAGCCAAGTCACTGCCTTGGTGGGGGATAGGGACAGAGGTAGCATCATTGGCTGTCAGAGCCTGTGACCTTAAACAACACGGCTCACCGGGTATCCTTGCAGCCTCAGGCCCAGGACTCCAGTGGTGGAGGGCTTCCATGTCTATGCCTAGGGAAGTCCTAGTGTCTGATGGCATTTTCCTCTGTCTCTACCCAGTTCTGGCATAAAGCATGCTTCCACTGCGAGACCTGCAAGATGACACTGAACATGAAGAACTACAAGGGTTATGAGAAGAAGCCCTACTGCAACGCGTGAGTCTTGGGGTGGGGGGCACCTCACTTTCCCCCAAGTTCTTCCTTCCCTTCTCATAAGGCCAAGGTGACATTGCCAGCACTTGGCACACCCTACTTTTGAGATATTGTGATCACATTGTGCCTTCACAGCAGAGGGCTCTTCCTATCCCTATTTTATAGATAGACTTGGGGAAGTTCGCCTTGCAAGGTCTCCTGGCTGGGCTAACTAGAGGCTAATTCATAGCCAGTCTGGGTGGTAAAGCCTGTGGGTCCCTTTCACTGTACCCTGCTAAGAGTGCAGCTTGCATGACACTTCAGGATTAAGAGACCGGCCTGGCTGGGGCTGCCCCTGGATCGGGTTTGGGGTTATGACTCTCCCCTTGGCTGCCCTTTCTCATTCATTCCTACAGCAGTTTACAGGTTCCATCTGTCACCTGGGCACTTACTAAGCTTTGGTGGTTCTTTCTTCCATTGTTCCTTCTAGAAGATTCTGGAGCCAAGTCAGTCCTTTTGTTCATCTCATGAGAAGGGTATGCCCTGGCCTAGCACAGAGCCCATAGATACTGTTTTTCCATTATTCTGAAAGTTGCTAGCTTAGGTGCTGTTCCTGAGGGCCTGGTCCTCAGGAGGCAGGCCTGGTAGGGGGGCCATTGTTTCCCACCCTAGAGGGACACCACCCATCCCATCTGCATCATCTGCAGTTTCAGAGTGCCATAACTTTCCATCCCTGAGGTGACCTCATGAGTAGTCAGGGCAACCTCAGTGTCAGATCCAGGGTACCTGCAGCAACTGACTTCAGAGCCCTCTGCAAGGGACATGGGGTACAATTGGGGGGTTGCTTAAAAAGTGAGGCGACTTGCAGGTAGGTGGTAAGATCAGTAATCAAATAAATTTAGGATCTAATTTGTCTTAGTTTTTGTTGTTTGAATGTCCTAGGCTTTCCTTGACTCAGTTTGTATCTGAGGATAGATAGCTTTAGACTTCTAATCCTGTTGCCCTCCACTCCAGATTGCTGGGTTTACAGGCTTGCTCCATCATGCCCAGCTAGTCTCCTTAATTCTTTCAGAAGGTAAAGTAGCTAAAGTTCACCAGGAAGGGAAACTTAGGACTTGTCTAAAAAAGGTGGAGAGCTTAAGCTGCTATGAGGGCTAGCTGACTCTCATGCAACTGTTCCTAGTCCCCTCCTGATACCATGGCCTCCTCTCCTTCGGTTTGAATATTCACCAGACACTTAAGGCCTGCCCACTGCTATATGTCAACCTGTGCCTGGTGCCAGGGAACTGATATATGATAAAATCTTAAGCCCAAGAGGCAGCATGACCGTTGTCTCTTCTAAAGGAATGGGCACTGGGTAGGTTGAGGGAGAGAGGAAGGACCATAGCTCTGTTCTCAGGACTTCCACTGCTCCTCTGCCCCCCACCAGCCCCTCCCAGCCCCTAGGGAAATGGGACATTCTTTGAATTCTTAAGGGCTCACACAAGCTCTGATTCTCTGCCACTTCCTCCCTCCTTTGGGGTGTGGGGTGGGGTTCTGAGAAGCAAGGGCACTTAACCCCTTGGTTGCAGGACTGCTTCAGCCTGGACTCCCAGTCTTCTTTGGGCAGCTTCTGGGCTTCCTCTCGCAGGCAGAAGCCTGGCTGAGCTGAGGAGCCCTGGGCGATACAGTTCCACATTTCTTCTGAAGACTCCAGGCAGTCCACCTACCATTCAGTGAGAATTGGGAGTCAGAGAGAAAGACTTGTTCTACCACATTTCCTTAGTCCCAGTGCCAGAGTTCCAGCTTACTTTTCTTGGGGAGACCAGCAGCAAGAGGAAGAGGGGCTTCTGCAGCAGTTGGGGGTTTGGGAGAGATAGAAGATGAAGCCTCCTCCTCTATGGGGAGTCTCCAGTTCTGTCCCTCTCCTGACCTTCAGCTAGGGGAGCTTGCCTCTCCAGTCATTTTTACAGCCCTAGCCTCAGTCTTATTGAGGTGCCTTTGACCTCTGGTCCAATGGATATTTGCTGGGAAGGGCTGGGTTTGTGGTGAGGAAGTATGGCCCAGCTGTGCTTTGCTCCCACTGCAGTAGACTGCTAGCTCCATCCTCATCCCCTCGGTGGAGCTGTCTGCTGAGCCTTTGGTTTCCCAGCCAGACTGTGAAGTGTGGACACGTGGCCTCAGCACCTAACTGAACCTGGGTTTCCCCTTTCCAAGGATGCTGGACCTTAGACCAGAGTCCTTGCTGTGCATCAGGCCTTGTGCCAGATGGTTGCTGTCATTCCATTCCATCCTGTTTTCTAACTGCCTCTGGGGAATAGCCCCCCATTCTCACACCCCCCTTCAACCCTTGCCACGCTTGTGGACCATAGGCCTGGGTTCATTCTGTATAACACTGCCCCCCTCCACGGGGCTAAGCCTAGGAGGGACCCACAGGGGCAGGTGGTGGTGGCTTGGCACTTTACCAAGATTCAGGGCCACCCAGTGAGTGTGGGGATGAGTTTGGTGTGCAGTGAAGCCTCTGTTCTACTTGTCCCTGGCCAGTTCCTGAGCCCCAGGGCAGTTAGGATCCTGTGGGAGAAAAAGGAATGAGAGAAGAAAGCTGTCTGTCCCAGGTCTGTCTTTCCAAAGTTCTAGAAAGTGACTGTAAACAGTGAAAAGGCTTCTGTCTGAGGATGAGGCGGGGAGTGAACACAGGCTAGAGCTCTGGGTTAGCTCTAGCTAACCAGGTGTCAAGGGCTACAGACATGCATTTACACAGCAGCCTGGTTTGTCCTCAGACCCTTGCCCCGGCTCCAAACGGCAGATTCCTCGCAGTTGGCTCTTGCCTAACCTTTGTCAGGTAGAGGCCACACTCCTGCGTGCATGGTAGCTCCCCTTCTCATCAGTTCTTTTTGAAGCTTCCAGGTATGTGGAGTGGGCCTGCTCTTTTGGCTTGAGAAAAATGATGACCAGGATTATTTGTTTTGTAAATTGGATCATCAGAGTCCTGGCCTACAGAAACCCAATTCTCTGGGTCCATGCAAATGGTTGCAGAGCGCAGAGATCAGGCTGTGGTTAGAATGGGGATAGTGACAGACTACCTGTGCTCTTGTAGGGACCTGCAGGCAGGAGGTCCATTGTAGGCTAGAGGAATCACCTGGGGAAGGAAGAGGGTCTCAGCTGTACCTTTCCCCTTAGATTGACAGCAGACATCTGGGTTCCTGATTTAGTCTACCAGGGCTGTAGGGGGAGGGACTAAGCTGAGGGTGCAGATGTCCCTTGTGCTGAGGTCTGTGAATCCCAGCCCCTTTCCCAGACTCGAGCTTGGTAGTGTAATAGGGTCTATGTCACTCTGTTATAGTACCCTCATCCCAACCCAGTTTTGTTGTTGTTTGTTTTTATTTTTTGAGACAGGATCTCTTATCTAGTCCCAGCTGGCCTGGAGCTCCCTAAGTAGACCAGGCCAACCTCAATCTCACAGATAGCCGCCTGGTTGCCAGGTGATCTCAAGCCATACCGAACATATGGAAGTCAGAAGACAACTTTTGGGGGTTGATTCCTTCTACTCTGGGTTCTGGAGGTCTAACTCCTGTTCAGCTTGCAGGGCTGAGCTCTCTAGCCTGCCCAACCTTGGACTTCTTATCCTCCTGTCCTAAGTGCTCAGATTACAGGTGTAGGCTAGTACACCTGGGGATTGAGCCCAGGGCTTCATGCATGCTGGGCCAGGCCTTCTACCAGCTGATCTAAACCTCTAGTCCCTGGTTTGTTGGTTTGTTTGTTTGGAGACAGTTAGACCTAGATATGTAGATCTGGCTGACCCTTGACCTTGTCATAGTCCTGGGGTGGGGCAAGGTGGGGGTCCCAGTCTTTATTGCTTTCCTAGAATGCTCTGCCTCTTACTGAGAAAATGAAATAGAATATCTTAGGGAGCTGGGGTAGCCTAGAGTGGGGTGTATTGTGGCATATTTGAGGGTGAAGGGGGCAAGTAAACACAGGCAGCCAGAATGTCAGATACAGCCATCAAGTAGACACAGGCAGCCAGAATGTCCGATACAGCCATCAAGTAGACAGAGGCAGCCAGAATGTCAGATGATACAGCCATCAAGTAGACAGAGGCAGTCAGAATGTCAGATGATACAGCCATCAAGTAGACAGAGGCAGTCAGAATGTCAGATGATACAGCCATCAAGTAGACAGAGGCAGTCAGAATGTCAGATGATACAGCCATCAAGTAGACAGAGGCAGTCAGAATGTCAGATGATACAGCCATCAAGTAGACAGAGGCAGTCAGAATGTCAGATGATACAGCCATCAAGTAGACAGAGGCAGTCAGAATGTCAGATGATACAGCCATCAAGTAGACAGAGGCAGTCAGAATGTCAGATGATACAGCCATCAAGTAGACAGAGGCAGTCAGAATGTCAGATGATACAGCCATCAAGTAGACAGAGGCAGTCAGAATGTCAGATGATACAGCCATCAAGTAGACAGAGGCAGTCAGAATGTCAGATGATACAGCCATCAAGTAGACAGAGGCAGTCAGAATGTCAGATGATACAGCCATCAAGTAGACAGAGGCAGTCAGAATGTCAGATGATACAGCCATCAAGTAGACAGAGGCAGTCAGAATGTCAGATGATACAGCCATCAAGTAGACAGAGGCAGTCAGAATGTCAGATGATACAGCCATCAAGTAGACAGAGGCAGTCAGAATGTCAGATGATACAGCCATCAAGTAGACAGAGGCAGTCAGAATGTCAGATGATACAGCCATCAAGTAGACAGAGGCAGCCAGAATGTCAGATATAGCCATCAAGTAGACACAGGCAGCCAGAATGTCCGATACAGCCATCAAGTAGACAGAGGCAGCCAGAATGTCAGATGATACAGCCATCAAGTAGACAGAGGCAGTCAGAATGTCAGATGATACAGCCATCAAGTAGACACAGGCAGTCAGAATGTCAGATGATACAGCCATCAAGTAGACACAGGCAGCCAGAATGTCAGATACAGCCATCAAGTAGACACAGGCAGTCAGAATGTCAGATGATACAGCCATCAAG